ATAACAAGATCTTTCTTTTGTTTTCCTAGTTCAGAAAAAATAGGTTGTTTCTATTTAAGATAGAATCAGGGTGGAACAGAAAGAGTGGTAAACAGAAAGATTACACAGTGCAAAATATTGTTAACCTAGTCAAGTAAAGTTAGACTCAATACTGACGGCAAGCTGAGACCAAGCCCCTTGGAACTTGCCCAGGTTGAGAATATCTTATTTGTTATATTCGTTGAACAGATAACCGAAAAACTAAGGATTGATTGTAAAATTACTGTTTTTGTTTTTTGGTGAGTGGGAGTTAAATGAACTGTTTTTCAGGAAATAGAGGGGAAAAATAGCCCCACAGTTGTAGCTAGTTAGGCACTCCTAAGTGGATGAGAATCATCGTTTTGTTAATTTCATCAACATGTTCATTTCTTTCAGCTCCATGTTCATGCATGTCTTTTAACCCGGAAACAAGAAGACTGTCCATAGGTCTAGACAATGGTACAATCTCAGTAAGTACACATAAATAAGATTTCCAGTTGAAATACTTCCCTTCCTGTGAAGTATGTATATTTATTGTGATGAGAATTATTTATTAGTTTTTTCAAATTGACAGAATCATTTTCTTGCTAAGTAAAGTGGAAATTGTAGTCGAGCATATTATGGTAAGAGATTCTGTGTAAGGAGAGCTGTCATCAGTGTCCACTTAAATGCTGACTAGATTCAGCTTGACCTGCCATGCACAGTTGTGAGTATAGGGGCACTGGGAGGCTAACGAGTGAACTGCATGAATCTGCCTTAGGGAGAGCAAGCTGTGATACTAGCGGCTTTAATCAGATGGTTAATCATGATGCAGACACCAGCAACAGAACAGGAAGAAAAGACTTTCTCTTACATCTGTATGTGTGATCTTGTCTTTGATACTTTGTGTTCTCTTCCTTCCCCTCTTCCTTCTGCTTCTTGTCTTCTCAGCTCCCGCTAGCATCTGAATAGAATTCTATAAATTTGTAAAGAAAGTACAGAATCTAGATTTAGTCTGTAGGGTAGATCCAAATGAATATTAGACCTTTTGATTATACATCTTGAGGGAACTGAAATGATTAAAATTAAAATTTTGAGTTTTATCTATCTACTTAATTTTTTTATATATTTAGTTTCTACTAATGTATTAACTAGTAACAAGACTGATCTGGTAAATTCTCCATTTGGTACATTATCCAGTATTGCTTTTAATCCTGGGCAAGTGGGATCCTGCTTTGGGACTGGTAAATTGGAAGGCTCTACTCTGATCACACTTCCCCCATAGGGTGAAGAATCTGAGGGGCCAAGGGGATGTGACTAGCCCACACCCTCACTCTCTACCACCCCATCCTATACCTACAGGACTCTGGAATTTCTTGCCCCCAAACAGCTCAGAGTTTGCTTCCAGAGTCTGTGTGGGCCTTTTTCCTGGATCTGTCCTCAGGAGGACAAAACCAGTGAATATTTTCTTAGGCCCGAGAGATGGCAAAGGGGTAGCAGTTTGAGGTGTGCAAGGTCCCTCAAGGTGTCCACAGAACTGAAGAACGGGAAGAGAAGGGGATGGGCTGGTCCTTCTAACACCAAAAAGTGGACCCCAAAACTGGCGTCCAGCCTGAAGGCCAAGAAGGTTCTTGGCTTCATGCAGGAAAGAATTCAAGTGAAAGACTTAAGTTGGAAATGAAAGCAGCATTTATTAAAGAAACAAACAGCACGCAGGCTACCCCATAAACAGAGCATATTGTTGGTGTGCTCTATTTTTGGCTATCTCTTGATTATATGTTAAATAAGGGATGGATTATTCATACGTTTTCTGGGAAAAGGGTGGAGATTTCCAGGAATTGGTGGCACTTCCTCTTTTTCTACCATATAAGGTAACTTCTGGGGGTTGTCATGGTGATTGTAAACTGTTATGGCACTGGTGGGAGTTTCTTTTAGTATGCTAATACATTATAAGTAGGGTATAATGAGCTACCAGGGTGAGCAGAGGTTGTTCTTGTTACTGTCTTGGCTCCTATTGGTCTTAACCAGTTTCTTCACTGCATGTTTTCCGGTTTTTGTCAGAGACCTTGGTTTGGGTCTCACAACTTTTCAATGAGTTGGGCCTGCCGGTTTCCTCCCTCACTCCCATGTGAGCACATTAAGGTGTGGAACTTAAAGGAGTCTAAGAATTCTAAATTTGGAACTGTACCTTCAGGTAGTTGAAGATGTATTTGTCAAGAATGGAGGATAAGACCATATGTTATTTAATAGTTTAACTTGACTTGTAACTTTTAAATACTTAGACATGGAATGTGGGCCTCCATCTGTAATCTTGCCCAGCCTTTACAAATGTTAGTGGGCCTGAAGTTTTCTATTTGACCTTTAGTCAAAACATTTGTTTGGTGGCCTTTATGGGCATATTAACAATATTGTTAAATATAAATCAGCCTATTGACAAATATTTATGGAATTAAATCTAACCCATTTAGTAGATTTGTAAACTCTTCTTTAGGTCGACAGAAGAGAAGTTTATGATATGGATTGTAGTCTAGTTTGAGGAGAGCCATTTTAAAAAGGAGGCATATATGTGGAATAAATTTATTTTTAAAAGATAAAGGGAGATCGTTGGATTATTCAGTGAACCTCCGAAGTGTCTCTTACAAAGGAAGTCTGAAAACATGAGCTGAGATCTGTCTATTGCCCAACAGCTCACAGACTAGTATACGTAACACCATGTATAGTAACACAAGTATACCTAAGTCCATGAAAAGACTTAGGTTTATCTAACACATGGGTGGTTCTTTGCACTTTTGATATTAATGTGGGTGGTTAATGGGTGCTGATTGATACATTTGGCTTTGAAGGCAAGAAAGGTGAGCAAAATAAGTTATGGAGAATTCATAAGCTATTTATTGTATGTAAGAGGAGAAACCATCTTAGGCATTATTCCTTTAGTAAATGAAACTGCCAAAGAACCAGAACATCAATCAGGCACTGGAACTGTGTCTGCTCTAGGTATGTCAGTACGGTGTCAAGACATCAAACCTTATCTTACTCTGATCTTCCGATAAAGATTGAGGCCCCTGACTTGTGTGAAATAATTTCCTTGAAAGTTCCTCCTTTATGTTGCTAAGGAAGATGAATTGCACATTCTGCCTATTCTCATCTGAAGAATTATAAAGAGAGCTAAGTTAGAGGAAGATACACTGAGAGGACAGCATGTTTAAGGTTCAGGATTCTCATGGATCACTACAATAACAGGTTCTTTACTGAAAATACTTAGTCTCTGTTGTTTAATAATTTACTTCCTGGACATGAGAAATTGTAGTCAGACACTATACGTTCTCTGGTTGCTGAATATAGCAGATAAATTTTGAGAAGAAATACTGGTTGACTTATTTTAAAACTAAGAAAAGATGAAATCGGAAAGTAAATCCTTATTTCATTTTATTTTACTGAATAAAAAGAACACATTATGTAAGAGTTAAGAGACAGTTAAACTTATATAACTGAGTAGTACAGATGAAGTAGAGATAACAAATAGAGACCATTCTTTTAAAAATTTGGCCACAAAGGGAATGAGAGAGAGGTTGAGCACTGGAACACGATCAGATGGGAGACAAACAGCGAGAGGGTTAGAACAATTTGGAAAATTTAGCTGCAGGAAAGGATGAGGACCCTTGAGATAGAAGGGAAAGAGAAAGAGAAATGTCAATACATTTCGAGATATAGGAGAGGAATGCCTTTTGTTTTTTTCTCATGAAGTAGCAGGTAAGATCCCCTACTGAGAGAAGCTGAAGATGGGGTGAGAGTATATTTTCATCCCTCTACGTTTTGCTTTTTGTGAGTGTATAGCCCAGAATCATCTTCTGCCATCTTGGTCTACATAGTCCTAATTATCCTTCCAGACCTAGTTCAAATATTACGATTTTATTTTATTTTTCGGCAGTTGGTTCCTGAGTCCTACCAATTGAAATTAATCACACGCAGTACTCAGTAGGGTTAGCTATATTGTATTGCCTGTTTAACTTTTGTTTTGTAAAATGTTTTTAAGTCGGTCTCTTCTATCATTGGGTGTTGAGACCTTGGCCGGTTTTTTTATTCATCTCTTCTCCTAGCAGATCTTACTGTGATTCCTTGTAAAGTTAGGAACTCAATGAATAATTTTTTAAATAAGTTTATTGACTAAAGTATAAACACTTATTATTTAATAAAGCTGGTTGTAATAAGCACTTGCTTAAATTCTGAGATAGCTTATTTGTACAATTCTATTACTATTCAAAATAAATTTATTTTTACAATTCTATTACTACTCAAAATGTTTATACAATTCTGTAGGGGAAGAAGATATGCCAGTAATTTAATTCATCTTGAGTTTTCAGTATTATCTTCTGTTTTAATATTGAAAGAACTCAAATTGTGCTAACTGCTATTCATGCTGAAGTGGGACTTAAAACTCTCAATTGTTGTATCTCATGTATTCTAACCAACCAACAAATATTTAAGCTTTAATTATGTACAAAAGATTATGCTCAGTTCTAACATAATGTAGCTCCCAGTCTCAAAGAGTTTATAATTCAGTTGTGAAGACATTTTTCCTTTTCATGAAAAATGAAGTTATGAAATAAGTAATACAAAGTAAACAAATAACAGCGGAAGTAGCAGGACACCAGTGAATGTGATTTTGGCAAGGCAGTGAAGTCAGAAGAGAGTGAGAGACAGTGGTCTGGGAGAGCTCCATGGAGACTGGATGTGAGCTGGGTTTAGAAGATAGGCTTGGATTCGATTAGCTAAAGATAGAAAGATAAGATATTTCAGACAAAATTAATGGCATGGGGAAAGAAAACGTGGAGGTAACAAAGGGCAAGAAATATTTGCAGAAAAATCAACCGATTTGGAAAGAAGTTTAATGGGGAATTGCGAAAGCCTTGACTCAGGACTAGTGGTTAGCATTATGTAAAGGAACTAGATCCCTGCCAAGGAAGATTCCCCCCAATCCCAACCCAAGACTTTCTGCTGTATTTAAAGGGGATGATTGACTGATGAGGAAATGTCAACACAGAAATAAAGAATTTCCATTAAATTAATTTCTATCAACCCTAATGAATAATGGCTGTAGGATAGTCACAGAGATGTATAGATCTTTATAAATACATATTTTCTTCTTCATCAAAATTGTTAGGGAACGAAAATTTTTATTAATATCTTGCCAAGGTAAATGCATACTCATTAAAGATTTTTTTGAAAAAGGCTCCAAAATTATAAAATCTCTTTTCTCTGAATATTAATCTCATATATGTGTTATGGGAAGTTTGATTGGGATGAGAGGAGAGGATTGATCTATACAACAGTTATCATTCAGAATGGTGATTATTATATATAAAATAATGATATTGACCATGTATGGATTTGTTGTTATTGTTTTGGTAATTCTTGTGGTTATTATACTTTTATAGTATATATTACTGTTAATTCACATGGGTTATCCAAGGGAATGAAAACTAAACATTTG